CGGCCATCTTTATGTAGAGCAACAATTCTTTTTTTCAGATCAGAGTTCTTTGCCATGAGGTGCCATGATGACCTTCCAGTGACCAGTATGAGAGAGTGAGAGCGATAACACCAAATTTAACACACCGGCTCCCCATTCACACCTGAGACCTTGTAACACTAACAAGTCACATGGCACCGGGGAGGGAAAATGGCTAATTGGGCCCAATTCGGAAATTTTCACTTAGGGGTGCACTCACTTTTGTTGCCAGCGGTTTAGACATTAATGGCTGTGTGTTGAGTTATGTTGAGGGGACAGCAAATGTACACCGATATACAAGCTGTACACTCACTACTTTACATTGTAGCAAAGCGTAATTTCTTCTGTGTCGTCACATGACCTGATATTATCCAATGAGAGGGGAGGACTCACTTCTGTGAGATACTGTATATATCATTACAAACAACACACAGACACCCATCAATAACATTATTTACATTGAGCTGACCTCTTTTATATGTTATAAATGTCAATGGAAAGTCTGTACATTCCCTATAAGAACACAAGTCTTATCACAGGCAGCAGCTTTGGTCAGGTCTTGAGTCATCAGAAAGTGTAGAAACTAACCGTCACCTCCTGCAGAAAAAAACCCAAGAACTTTCTATGTCACATGTTATAAGGTCACGGGATGGGCTGGAAATTTGCACCTCCGGGCTCCACACTAAATGCTAGGCCTCTATGGATCTCTCGCCCATCCGGCGTGCCCATTCGTCCAGGCCGCAATGCCCCCCCCCACAGCGTGTGCTCCGCTACAACTTGTCGCTCGATAGACCCCGGTTGTGGCAGGCTAGGCAGAGTCCGCTCTCCAGATGCTCACTAGACTAGATACACTTCCCTAAACAGTCTCCCGCAGGGCCAATGGCTTCACTGCATCCGCTCTGGCCAAACACACAGCGACCTGTACAGTGGGTCTATTATCCCTTGTTCACATGGGCAGTGAGGGGGCGGTAAAATCGTATGGTTGATGTGCGGCTTTACTACCCTGCAGTCAGTTTGGGACCAGCCATGGATTAGTCCAGGTTGCGGTACTGTCCAACCACCCACCAGATGAGGCCCGGAGATGGGGATGCAGAGGAGGCCTGTGCAGTTATCATTGGAGGAGAACCAGGGAAGCCGATGGTTGTTGGAGGTACCCGGAACATAGAGGACATCAGAAGCAAGTCTGGTGTCTCTCTTGTTGAGAATCTGTTACTCAAATTCCTATCCACTGTGCTACAAATGGATCTACACTGCATTGCTAAGAAGGGACTGGTGAGTCTGGAGAGTCTATGTCTGTTACACCCTGGATGTCTAGGATCTCTATAAGCTCTCTCCCCAGTCTGATGAGGTTAATAAAAGTTCTTCAGCATTATACTTCTGGAGTGGATATCAGCTTTGTGGGCACTAGAAGGGGGCAGTTAATGCTAATGGGGCAGCTGAAGACCAAAACCCATTCTAGACAACTAGTGATGACCCGGGTGATTCTGGCGGCTCCTTTGGGGTTGAGCGCTACCATTGCATTGACGCTCCATTAATAGCCGCTTTTTAATACATGCCCTACATTTAACCAAGCCAACACGCACCGCATGCTCTCTCTGTATACTCGAACACAGCAAATTTAGATAACACATGTGACAATACACACACATGATGCTGAATGATATTGTTTATTAAGTAATATTGGAATATTTTCCCTTCAGATTACTGACATAAAGCAGAATTTTGTTGTATTTATTTTTGTATTCATCGGAAGCTCTATTTGAGTGGACCTTCTTTAGATTTCACTTGCACAGCTTTGTTTAGTCCAGACTTCAACTTCACACACATGAAGATATTGTGTTTTTCCACGTAAAATGATATTGACGTATCGGCCAACCAGGCCACGACATGAGAAGCGCATTGATCCTCCAAGAGGGATCGAAGTGACCACCCCGCACCTGCGAATTGGAATTGTTATTATTGATGATAATAATTATAGTAACGATAAGAGCAAAAATATTACATTCATTTGTTATAGATAACACATATAGATACATATACATATATAATACATATATATATATATATGTTATATTACCAAAAGTATTGGGACACCCCTCCAAATCATTGGATTCAGGAGTTCCGTGACATTTCCTTGCTACTAAATATTCCGCGGTCACCTGTTAGTGGTATTATACCAAAGTGAAAGCAACTGGGAACAACAGCAACTCAGCCAGGAAGTGGTAGAGAGCTTCATGGAATGGGTTTCCATGGCCGAGCAGCTGCATCCAAGCCGCACATCACCATGTGCAATGCAAAGTGTGGGGTGTCGTGGTGTAAAGCACGCCGCCACTGGACTCTTGACTCGGGCAAGTCATAGGTTCCTTCTAACACCTCATAGTTCTCCTTTAAGGCATCAGCATAAATTGTCTAAACCTTGTGGACGCCTTCCCAGAAGAGGAGGAGCTGTTATAACGGCAAAGGGTGGAGCCAAGCCAATACTGAACCCTACGGACTTAGACTGGGATGCCATTAAAGTTCATGTGCATGTAAAGGCGTCCCAATACTTTTGGAAATATTCTGAAAAGTATAAGCATGCATATGTACTCAGTACTTGGTTTGGGCCCCTTAATGCGGCGTGGCGTGGAAGCTATCAGCCTGTGATTAGAGATGGTGGTGGAGATGAGAAGGGGTTTTTAGAGATGGGGGTGGAGATGAGGAGGAGTTTTAGAGATGAGGGTGGAGATGAAGAGGGGTTTTTAGAGATGGGGGTGGAGATGAGGAGGGGTTTTTAGAGATGGGGGTGGAGATGAGGAGGAGTTTTAGAGATGGGGGTGGAGATGAGAAGGGGGTTATATAAATGTGGGTGTGAAGGTGAGGAGGGATCAAAGAGATGGGGTAAGAGATGAGGAGGGGTTATAGAAATGGTGGTGGAGATGAGAAGGGGTTATGGACTTGGGGTAGAGATGAGGAAGGGTTATAGAGATGGGGGTGGAGATGAGGAGGGGTTATGGACTTGGGGTAGAGATGAGGAGGGGTTATGGACTTGGGGGTGGAGATGAGGAGGGGTTATAGAGATGGGGGGGTGGATATGAGGAGGGGTTATAGAGATGGTGGTGGAGATGAGGAGGGGTTATGGACTTGGGGGTGGAGATGAGGAAGGGTTATAGAGATGGGGGTGAAGAGTCCATAGCAGAAATGTATAAAATTGTTCTGGTCCATTAGGGTTTTACATATGCCAAAATGACCCCTTACCTCTGATTATTGTTTCCGTTGTCAGCCAGAGAGTCTCCTACGAGAATTTCAGCTCCGTTCAGTCTCTCAGCACAGCAGCCTCCTCTGTTGGTGATGGTGATGTATTCGATCTTATAAGGTCTCAGCAGGTCCACCCTCCACCATGGGGACGGGTCATTGTGTGTATGTGAGCAGGAGCCGTGGGCGAAGATCGGGTCACGGTTCCCATCTATGGCATTTATGGCTGCTGACTGGTAGCCATAGTGTTCACTTCTATAAATTGCAGACTGAGTCGCTCGACCTTGGAGGGCAACATTCCGATCTGTTAGACAATATATAAGTGAATATTACTTAGTGTACAAAGAGTAAGATAGAGGAGATAGACGACAGGAACACATGGGTCATTCGTAGTAGATTATTCATAATAGAGATTTTGTTGTATTTTCTTCCATTTCCAACATTTCCAACTGGATCTCTTCACCTTACAATCGTGTCTGGATAATGGCCTTCCACTGCACCTGCACTCTAGCTCCCTATATGTGTCTGTCCCGTCACTCATAGTCAGTGTGCAAATACTCACCATTGGATCACTGATTTAATGCTTGGACACAGAGTCATGTGGTGACCCATCCCACACATGTCACAACCCAGTTTGGATCCCAACCCATAATTTAACAAAAACTTCTTGACTTTTCTATGCGGCAGATTATGGACCTGCCTTTTGGATAGGAGCCAGGGAAGAATCCATCAGAGCAGTTGGATGGCGCTGGATAGATAGATAGATAGATAGATAGATAGATAGATAGATAGATACTGTAGATAGACAGAGTACCCTTTGTAGTTCCTGAACTCTCTCTTGGTTCATAACATTGGGGTCAGGCAGCCCACCCTCACTTTCATCCCAGTCCAAATGGTGGAGAAGCATTCTATGTGTTCCGATCTTGGCCAGGCAGGAAGTGAAGGAGTTGCTCTTGGCCGGACACCACTTGGATATCACAAAGTAGAGCAGTTGGGGCATCAGTTATAATTGCTCCCACTCCTCACACTTCATAGAAGCGATCAGTGTCTATGTCACAATCAAAGGGTCCTAGCTTCCTCCTCATGTAGTATAAGGGTTAGGGTTAGGTTAGGGTTAGCTGAGGTTGATCTATCTATCTATCTATCTATCTATCTATCTCTATCTATCTATCTATCTATCTATCTATCTATCTATCTATCTATCTATCTATCTATCTATCTTGCCATGTGTCTCCATATCATAATCTATAAGTGGCTTATACAGGATTATGAAATGATTACAATAATAATGTCAGCCTGTTATAATACAAGTTCTGAGCAGACAGGACCTACATTTCGTACAAGAAGTAGAAACACCGCAGATAATCCACAAGAAGGCGGCCGTGTGCAGAAATATCATCCCCATGATTCAGAGCGTTCTACGGAAATTCACCTAAAAGTAGAGAAAATAAACACAATGTTATCTCGCAGCAATAAAATATAGGAATGGCCTAGAGCTGGTTTTGATATTTGATCTTAGGATGTAGACCAAGCCACTGACAATGAATGAATTTAAGACATAGACATAAAGAAGATGGAGTTGATACTTTCATTTTAGAAATATAACCTTTAGGTGATCACTAAGGGGGTCATTCACTTAGTTGCCGAAGGCAGCCGAGTGAATAACCAAGCCGAAGTGAAGTGAGCGTAGCGCTGTTCGGCTATTCGCTTCAGTCTTATACGGCTGATTTCAGACGTACATCGGCTGCCTTCGGTCAGCCGAACATTCTCTGCATGCTGAAGTGCAGAAGGAGTCCGATTCAGCCGATCCAACATCTGGATTGGCTGAGCCGAAGCTCCGGCAGCTCACTCGCTGCCGTTCGCCCTATTCTCATAGGTGGCGAACGGCAGTAAGTGAATAGCCGAATGTTGCTGAGCGGCATTCAGCTCGGCTATTCTGTTCGGTATCTCCGAGGTACCGAGCAGAATAGAAAATAATGAAAAAAAAAAAAAAAAGTTGAAAAATTATTTTAAAAATGATAAAAAAATAGGATTTTTTTTTTTTTTATTAAATTGACAATTTTTATTAAGTTTTTCAGATAAAGGCGATACAGACATCGTCATGCCATTATGATAAAACAAAGCCATACCTCCTGTGGGATCCTGGCTATACAAAACAGATATAAAGAATAGACAAACATTGGAAACTGATGGGCATAGCAGTTCAACTATTCCATACTGAAGCAGCACCAATGTAACGACTTAATCACAGCTAATATGCCTAACCACGTAATTTCGTGTCCGCTATATTTATGTACTGTTTGTAAGTTCCCACATCCGTTTAGCTTGGTAGTCGTAATTGTGTAACATGTCTGTATCAAAATTTAGGAGAAATTAAGAAAGCAAGTAGAAAGAAAGTAGAAAAGTAGAAGAAGGACAGGAACATTTTAAAATATATATTTTAAAAAAAGAAAAACAATTGGGCAGAGCTAGCTGTGACAGCTAGCTCCGCCCAACTGTTTCCTATTGGCCGGCACATGCCAGAGTCTCCTAGCAGGTCCCAGGCAATGAATAACAACTGTTATATTGTTGTTAACAGTTGTTATTGTTTAAAGACAGATCAGCGTCCCCGGGTCATTTGTGGATGCTGATTTGTCATTACAACTGGGCGGAGACAGCCGTCAGATCATGGCTGGCTCCGCCCAGCTGCCTTTTTTCGTGGAGATTGGTCGTCTTTGGCCGACTATTCTCCATGCTCCAGGTGTCACTATCCGAAACATATGCGTTTGGCTCGGCTGAGCCCCTCGGCTGCTGTAAGGGCTATAGTGAATACAACTGAAGGGCAGAGGCAGCCGAAGCGAGCCGAAGGATCAGCCGAAGCTATGGCTGGATCCTTCGGCTCTTTAGTGAATAACCCCCTTAGTCTATTTATTTTTTTTTGTTTAATATAATTTTTATTATTATTTCACAAAAACACATTTATACATATCTTCATAATAGAGATTAAGACATAATTTTATCCCATAAATAACATAAATTATACACGTCTCTAATAAAAACATCTGCTGTCTTACTTTTACCTACATTCATATCTATAATCATTCATTTTACATTACCCAACCTCACCTCACTCATCACTTTCTCTTCTACTCTCTTCTCACATTTACACTACTACCGTTGGGGAGTCACTAAGTGAATTTATTTTAACCTCTTCCTTGTTTATGTGAACCTCTTCATCCCTGACGACGAGTACCATTAAATATGGGAAAGGAATTAGACAGGTCCCCATTTACCCTTACATCTGCAGTTGGATGTGTGTATATAAAACCATCACCTTTGATACATATTGCTCTCCCAATCCCGCTTGTAAGAGGGACTCTCTAAGAAAAAGCCAATTTACTCTGTCAAATGCTTTTTCAGCATCAATTGACAGCAAGCAAAGTGCCTTACTCTCCTTCTGTGCTAGACCTATTAAGTTGATGACCCTGGTGGTACTATCTCTGGCCTCGGGCCCCTGGACAAATCCAGTTTGATCTATGTGTATGATTTTAGGCAATACCTTTTTTAGCCTGGAGGCCAGCACTTTTGCATATAATTTAAGGTCAATATTTATAAGGGAGATTGGGCGTAAATGTCCACATTCTGATAAATCTTTTCCTGGTTTTGGAACCACGGATATATGTGCTTCTAGTGTCTGTGTGGGAAAGGGGCATACCTCTGTAACTGAATTACCGTATTTTGCGGTCCATAAGACGCACCGGACCATAGGACGCAGGGAGGTCCGGCGCGCCTTATGGAGCACTCGAGACTGTAGCTTCTGTCACAGCTTCTATGACAGGAGCTGTGACAGAAGCTGCAGTTAGTGACCGCTGAGACAGGTGGCGCTGTGATTACAGCGCCACGGTCTCAGTGATGACACAGAGCAGGCGAAGAACGTCTATTCTTCGTCTGCTCTATGGTTATCTCGATCGTCGCCGCTGCTCGGTTTTAATACAAGTGATCTCGTTAGATCACTCGTATTAAACGAGCAGTGGCTCCTACTACTCGCCCGGCGCCCGAAACTGCATGTCTCGGGCGTCGGGATTCGCTCCATAAGACGCAGGCACTTTTTCCCCCTCCTTTTGGGGGGAAAAAAGTGCATCTTTTGGAGCGAAAAATACGGTACATACTTTTGTAAAAAAAAAAGGGTCTTAATTGCTCCTCAAACTGTTTGTAGTAGTTGTAGTAGCGAGCTGTAAAGCTGACTGACCTGTAGAGAGGAAATTGCATCTTTAATTTCTTTTTCTGAGAAGGTTAGATTCACATTTTCTCTCCGTCCTCTTTATTACCGGCATATTTGCCTCTCTTATATATTTCCTTATTCCTTATTTTACTTATGTAACTATCCAGAGACATATCTGCATGTTTACCTCGTATTGAGTATAAAGATGCATAGTATTTTCTAAAAGTTTCTACTATCGAGGACGGAGAATGTTGGATAATCCCATTCCCATCTTTAATCCGTGTTATATTAGTGTTAGGAGCTCTTGGGTGATTCTTTCTAGCTAGCAACTTTCCACACTTATCCCCTTCTTCATAGTAATGTTTTTTATTTTTATCTCTAGCAATTAGTGTTTGTTGGTCCAGAATATTGCGAATGTCCCTTCTCACCTCATTTAATTGGGTGGAATATTTTATTGTCACACTCGACTTATTCATAACCTCCAACTCACTTAATTTCTGAAATAATCCCTTCAATTTGCTTGCCTTCTCTTTCATCAATCTAGAGCCATGTTTAACTAAAACACCTCTTACTACGCATTTTAGGGTCTCCCATTGTATAGGGCTTGATGTGGTATCCTTTTGATGATCCTTTATAAAATAGTTTATTGTAGATTTTACTTCTTCTTGGCATTCTATATTTGTTAATAGATTACCATTAAGTCTCCAAGTTCCCATGCCTCTATTTCTATTCTCCATTTTTATTATCAAGGACACTGGTGAGTGATCGGACCATAGTATCGGGCCCATTTCAATCTCAGGATTATAGTCCAAAAACCTCTGATGCATCCATATATGGTCTATCCTGCTATATGATTTATGTACCATGGAATAGTATGCATAGTCTCTTTTTGTAGGGTATAATATACGCCATCCCTTTTTATTTTGATTCTGTCTTTTTAAAGCCTCTCCTGGAAGGAGGGGCTTACCTGTAGTATCTAAATCAATATCAAAAGTTAAATTCATGTCTCCCATCACCCAAATTGTGCCTACTCCAAATTGCTCAAATCTATTCAATACCCATATACAGAACATATGTTGTCCCTTATTTGGTGCATAAATATTTGCCAGTGAATACATTTGAATAAGATAAGAAAATTTCAAAAACACATATCTCCCTTTTTCATCTATGACTGTGTCTGTTACATCAATTTGTGCATTTTTATGAATTCTAAGTCTATGTATAGCCAAAATATGTCTTATTAGCTATTAGCCAGAGTGGGGAAGCATTATAATGCATGCTGGGTTTGTTTATTTGCTCTTTGCATTCCATTAGAGAGATTTACTTCCTGTATCAAAGGTGAGGTCCCTTCTTCGGCAGTTCCCCAGAATGGGTGCCCCCAATGGAAGATTTCCTCTCAACATTTTCAGTTCGTTATCGCTTTCTGTGTCAGTGACAATGGTCACCAGGACCAATAGAGAGGGTGACTCTACCCAACAGACACACACAGCAAAATAAACTTCCCTACTTCATCCAAAATGTAAAAAAGTTTGGGCCATACATACACTTTAAAGTTCATCTCCACCACAACCCTTACAATGCAGGTTTGCACGGAGACGGCAAGGGGCAGCACTTATAGGTTACTTACAGTATATCTCTCATGGACTCTATTGGCGAGGAACCAACAGCAGAATATCAATATCTTACCAGCTTTATTCTTAGCATTGGTTGACATTATGTTCAATATAAACCACACTCTCCAAGGTTGCATGCATTACC